AGCCTTCTCTTCTCCAGCTCTCTCAGCCTGTGGCAACTGTGACAGCCCCACTGAGCATCCCCAGCCCTGGCACAATCTGCTGCTGTCAGCCTCACATCCCTGCCAGAACAACATCTTCCTTGGTAATGATGAAGAGAGATGCTTATTCACCTTCTGCAGGCATTGATGTGACAGCTTCCATGTTCCTCTGGAGCTTTGCTGGCTGGCGGCGCTGGATGGTGCTGGCCCGGGGAGTTGTTTAATGGGACATCTTCCATCTCACCTCAAATCAAGCTTGGGGCTGTGTCTGCCTCTCAATGCCTCTTTGTGAAACAAGTCAGGATCTCTGGAGATCCTGCAGTCTGGAAAGGAGCCGACAAGTGGGTTTTATTTAGGGAAGGACATGTGGCTACATGGAGAAATGACAGCCCAGGAAGTGTGTGAAGCTCTGTGAGATCGGGTGGCTCTGGTCTTGGGAACCGGGAGAGGCCTTTCCTTTGGGGAAAGGGCATCTGAGGCCTCTCCTGCTCCTGGAGACAGTGGTTGCCACAGCAGGAGCTCAGGAAGGGAGGGTGAAGGATGCTCATGGATGAGGCTTGGTGGTGGCAGCTCTGACCCAGAGGGGACATGGCACCCCAGCAACTCGTGATGCACCCACTTGTGCTCTTCCTCACCTTCCTCCGTCTCCTCTCCATGGCCATGCCCAGGGGCTGCTGCTTCAACAGGCAGAGCAATAGCAGATATTTCTCCCCCTGGGAGGTATTTGCAGACATTCCAGTTGTTGGCAGAGCTTCCACCCTCCGGAAATCCTGGGACCCAGTTACCTGGGCTTGGTGAGCAAAGCAAAACCTCTGGAAAGCGATGCTGGGGTTCAGAACAAGGTTTTATTGGGAAAAGCCTCCCTAGTCCCAGGCAAATGAGTCCCCAGTGAAGACGGGTCAGTCCTGCTGCTGGCAAACCCTCCTGCCCCTGCAGTGCAAAGCCCTTGGGAGAGCTGGAAATGATGCTGTAAACCAAGAAAGGAGGGGAAAATAACGAGCAGTAAATCCCTGCAGGGTTGGGGCTGCTTCAGTTTTCGTTCCAGTGCTAAATGAAAACTGCCAGATGTCCTCTGTGAAATGATCCTTGTCTTTCCTACCCATTCCCAGGGCAGAAAAGGTGGAGAAGGCCTATTCCCTTCGCCTAAAACACTGACCACACTGCAGAGAGCTTTGGGCAGGTAGGACACTGTCACAGGGAGCCTCAAGAGCCACCAGCACCTGAGCAGGCAGAGCTCAACATCCCAACATCCCAACAGCCGTTCCCACCACCCCGTGAGGATGCCAGAGCCAGAACCTACAGAATCCTTTCTGTTGTGTTTCTGGGACAGTGGGGATGGAGCTGCAGCAGCACCAACACCATCCTCATCACGCCGTGAAGTCCTGGGTCACCAGGTTGAAGACGTTGCTCTCCATAGACGACTGCCACTTGCCCCAGTTCCTCTTGATCTCAGCCTGGACCTGAACCAACACCATGGGCTGGTGCTGGCACCCAGGGACACCAGCCAGCACCCAACAGAGGGGCAGGAGCTGCACCCAGGCCTTGACAAGGGATTTAGGGTGCAAGAAGGTGGGGACCCCCATGCATGTCTGCGTGCACACGTGCATGGTTGTGTGTGTGCCATGCCATGCTCATTGTGGTGCACCCTTGGGGGTGTCTGGGTGCCCAAGTGTGTGGCTGTGGCACCGGGGGGGTTCATGCTGGGGACACACTCACCTCCCCATTGAGGAAGCAGTACAGCAGAGCCACCAGGAACCCCTGGAAGGACAGAAAGAGCAAGTTTTACCCAAGGAAAGGGGCTGGACCCCTTCATGCTCATTCACTGCTTGCATTTAGTGCCCCCCCCCTCCTCTTACCCCATCCCATGGGTGGTAGGGAATTAATGCAAGTTGTTCTCTGCACCAGAACCCTTGTGCTTTGTTTGGGGGGTGCCTGGGACACAGGCCTCTCCCAAAAGAGTGCAAAGCCCCAGCAGCACATCCCTGAGGCTCCTGTTTGGGGTGGGATGGGTACCTAGGGACTTTGCATACCCATTTGATAGGACAAGGGGAATGGGTTTAAACTGAAACAGAAGTTCAGGGTAGATCTAAGGCAGAAGCTCTTCCCTGGGAGGGTGCTGAGGCGCTGGCACAGGGTGCCCAGAGGAGCTGTGGCTGCCCCATCCCTGGCAGTGTTCAAGGCCAGGTTGGACACAGGGGCTTGGAGCAACCTGCTCTAGTGGAAGGTGTCCCTGCCCGGGGCAGGGGTTGGAGCTGGAGGAGCTTTAAGGTCACTTCAACCCAAACCAGTCTGTGAGTCTGTGCTTCTATGACCTCCCCAAGTCTGCACCTGGTAGGAGCCGAGGACCAGCTCGAAGTACAGCCGAGCATCCACACCGACGTGCTCGGGGAAGAGCGCGAACACCACATAGTGCACCCCGAAAAGGGGGATGAGGAGCAGCGTGGACTTCGTCAGCCTCCTGCAGAGAGTGGCAGCATTAGAGGGGACCTGGCTGCAGGCCATGGTCCTGCTGACCCATCAGATGAGACCTTCCCAAGAGCCTGGTGTTAACGCGAAGTAGGTTTGCAGTGAAAGGCAGGTCTTGGAGGCTCCAAGGATGGTTCTCCTCTAGGGAAGGGTCCCTGCTACCTGGGTTTCCCCCCAAAATCAGGAGAGGAAAGCTCCCCTTGCCCAGGCCAGCTCTTACATGTACTGCTGCTTGTAGTTCTTGCTAATGTCCGGGGAGCGGATCTTCTGTGCTAACATCCTGGTGACATTGAGGAAGATAAGGAAGTTCACCTGCCATGGGAAGCCATGTCTCAGGCTCTGCACAGACCCTGGCTGGATGCCCCTGTCCATATGAGACCCTTGGGTCATACTCACAAATATGGCCAGGAGGATGGGAGCCTTGATCACCCACCAGTAAGGGTTGCTGTAGTCATCCCAGCACCTGCAGGAGAGGAGAAATGCCTCTGCCACCCCTGCCCTGTCTGTGCAGCACCTCTTGCCCCAGCAGAACACAGAAATAGCATTAAAGTCCTCCCCGTCCTCCCCTCTGGAGCCACCCATGAAAAGGTTCATCCCCTGGGACTTGCATGAGGGAGACGTGGCCGGGAGAAGGAAGAGGGGTGGCTGCTCTTACCCGTGGTTGTCGTACTGCAGCCTGGTGACCACCCATATGCAGACTGTAAGCATGGGAACGCCTGCAAGGACAGGACCAAGGCAGGGATACGGGGTCACACTGGGGCTCTGGAGAAGCCCTGTACCTCCCCTCCGTCCCTTGTCTCCAAAAACACGTGTCTAGGGCAGGTCTGGGGCCCTGGAGGTGTCAGGGAGGGGACAGACTTTCCGCCTTCTCCAGGTTTTAATGGTGCTCACTGGTGGTGATGTGTCTGCATGTCACATCCTGGTCACCTTCCTGCCCTTCCGTGCACTCTTACATGTACCTTGGACATCTGGGACAGGTGATTCCAGCCCCAGATGGATGTAGGAAGAAGGAAGGACCTGTCTCTGTCCCATCCTGACCACATTCAGGATGGGTTGGCAGCAGATGCTGTTGCAAAGGCTCTTTGGTCAGCATTAGCAAGTGCTTTCCCCATTAGTGATTCTGCACACATGCCACAAGGGCAGGGATCAGGCCAGGCTGCCCAACCAGCTCCAGGGGCTGGCAGGAGCTGGTGGGTGCCCCACCAAGCACAAGGCTACGCAGAGAGATGCTGGGGTGGGGGCCAAGAGCAGCCACGTGAACCATTGTGCCTGCGTTCCTCTGGCCAGATGGGTCTCAGAGCAGGCGGTCCCCAAAAGTGCCTCCCCCTGGTCTGGGTGAGTGGGACCATGCTGGAGGGGTTGATGAGCCCCACACTCACCCCAGCCGATGAGGATGTACCACCAGATGTACCTCTTGTCAGAGGTGAAGGTGAGCAGCAGCAGGGTCTGCAGGTACATGCCCTCCACCAGCAGCCAGTAGAAGTTGGCCAGGACCGAGTACTGGAAGAAGGCGATGGCTGCTTTGCAGTTCACCTGTGAGGAGGAGGAGGAAGGCTCAGGAGTGCTGGCTGGTGTCAGACCCGGGGGGCTGTAGGACCTTCAGTAACATGTGTCCGTGGTGTCCATGATGTTGTACCTGGGCTGCACGTAGGGGTTGCTGCTTCTATGGACAACCCCAAACCTGCCCATCCAGCAGTGCAAGGTGCTGCCGGGGTTCTCTGAGAGCAGGGAGAGCTTTGAGGGCAGAACATGTTCTCTGCATTGGGCCCATGTAGAAATGCTGTTGTGAACCTCCTGAAGTCCACCCAAGCCAGCGTTTCCCCCCCAGCTTCACATCCTCTCCTTCTCTCCTCTTTGCAATGCTAAATCCACTACAAATCCCCCTAGATCCCTCCAGGTCAGCACATGGTGCCCTCTCCTGCACCATGCCTGGGCTGGGACTTGCTGCCTCACCGTTGACATGGTGCAGTGATCGATGGACTCATCTGAGAAGAGGACAGCATCCTTGATGAACACAGCGGCTCCGCGCAGTATGAAGGAGGTGAAGAAGTGGATGTGGATAGAATTCCTGGTGCAATGCAGCTTCCTATGGAAGAGATGTGCTGTGCCCGGGGAGGAGCAGAGAGAGCAGATGGGCTCCTTCAGGACCCACTTCCCTGAAGCCCTACCTGAAGCAGGAGAAGATGCCGATGGCCAAGAACAGGGCTGCCAGGGACGTGGAGTAGCCGCAGGTGTAAAGCACCTTCATGGTGACAAAATAGCCTCTCTGGAAGGGAAAGCACCAGCAGGGCTGGGAGTCACTGCTCTGTGATGGGCAGGGAAGTGGCAGGGTGATGCCACAGCCCTTGCCCAGCCCAGCTCAGATCCCCCCAAGGCAGCCCAGCACCCAGGATGAAACCAACTCGATATCCCCGAGGGCACTTTCAAGTTCCATTGTCCAACAGCACGGGTCAGCGCGGGGTAGGATGCCTGGAGGGTGTCCCATTGTCCCTGGGGACCCACTTGCCTTGGCCTCGGTGGTGGCGTTGCTGCCGATGGGCTCCAGCTCGCAGGCGCTGTAGTAGGGAGGGCTGGGGAGGCTCCATCCCGACTCGGTGCAGTTCCTCCAGATCAGCGCTGCAGCGACAAGAAGGGACCTCACAAGAGCCACGGGCATCACCTCTGCATCAGCACCCCCAGATGTCCAGCCTGGGCATGGCACCTGCTCTCCGAGACGGAGCCTAAAGCCCAGCAGCAGCATCCCAATACCCAAATCCCTAATATCCCAATAGTTTTGGAGATGAGGAACACCCCAGAGGATGCTCAGGCATTGGAACATTCCCTGCAAGTGTTCACAGCCCGGGTAGCCGAGGTCTCAGTGCCAGGGGTTAGTGGTGGCCTTGGCAGTGCTGGGGAATGGTTGGACTTGATGAGCTTAAAGGTCTTTTCCAACTTGGTTGATTCCATGATCCCAGTATGGAGCCCAGACAGCCTGGCTGCCCCATCCCTCCCATTCAGATCACATCTCTGCCCTCCAGTGCCAGGGCATCTTAGGTGAGGATGTGAGAGCAAGCATGAATCCCCATGGTGGGAAGGAATTCAGTCTAAAAATGTGGGGGGATTTCACCCTGTGAGGGCTTCATCAAGCCTCTCCTGAGCTGCTTCTGCCCTAAAGCAGAACAACCCTTCATCGCCTTCGTTGCCAGCTGAGGAAGCACTTGGATGCTGCAGGGCTGGTCGGGTGCTCTCCTTCACACCCCTCTGCCTCCAGGATGGATGGAGGCAGCAGATCCCCCAGCAGAGAGCCTGGCCTTGAAATAATCATGGTCTGAAGCTGGGCTGTTCATCCCAAATCCCCTTGTGAGCATCCTGGGAGGGACTCACGGGAGGGGAGAGCAGCAGCAGGCTGGAGCCAGGCTCTGATGTGATCATACAATCGTAGAATCCCAGCCTGGTTTGGGTTGAAGGGACCTTAAAGCTCATCCAGCTCCAACCCCTGCCACGCACAGGGACACCTTCCACTAGAGCAGGTTGCTCCAAGCACCTGTGTCCAACCAGGCCTTGAACACTGCCAGGGCTGTTCTCGGGGCGCCCTGTGCCAGCGCCTCAGCACCCTCCCAGGGAAGAGCTTCTGCCTCAGAGCTCATCTCAATCTCCCCTCTGACAGCTGATGGTACTTGGGGTGCTTGGTACCAGGTGATAGAAGGGTTGGGGACTCTTTGTGTGGCAGCACCCAGCCCACCCCATTTGCATTGCAATATGTGCCAAGCTCTCGGATGGGGCAGAGGGAGCAGAGGGGCTGGGCTGGGGGGGCACAAGGCTCCAGGGCAGGCAGGGGATGAGCCCCCCGGCTGCAATCACTGCACTGCACCTTTAGTCCTCTTGAAGACGTGGAGGATGTTGGGGCAGGCGAGGGCCCGGGACTGGCCGCGGGGGACGGCCGGCCAGCAGCTCCCCGCCTCCCCCTGGGACGGGATGGTCAGTGCCCGCGGGAAGGGACGTGCTGGACACACACACACAGAGCCCCCTGGTCCTGGGCACATGGATGTAACGGGAGAGCGGCAGTCACTCGATCCACAGGGCCATGCCGTCCCCCTCTGGAATGAGGAGCATCCCAGCTCCCGCTCTGGGAATGACCTCCCCCAGTGCTGAGATCTCCTTTTAGCCCCGCAGCGAGATGGGACCTGGTATTTCCTGGGGGTGCATCAGATCCTGAGCTGCTGCGGGAAAACCCCAGGGACGACGGGGTGGGAAGGGCTGGGACTTTCCTGGTGGCATCTAAAGTAATGCAGAATTACACTGGATTCCTGAAGCCAGCAGTTGGCTCAGCCTGGGATGTGTCTCCAAACTGAAGGAGGAGAGGAGAAAGCAGGACCTGCTGGAGAGCCCTTAGCTTAAACATGTTTTCCTGCTCTCTCCAGCACTAAGTCTTTAAATGACTCTCCAGTCACCTTGGAAATGAGCGTGGCCAAGCAGATGTGGGGCTGTGAAGAATGAGCGCTGCAGCACAGCAGGATGAGACATGGACATCACACTTCCAGCTCTTCTCCTTGCACATCTACATTATTAACCTCATAGATACACATTATTAACCTGAAGCCACATCTATTCCCAGCCAGGGAATGTGGACTCAGACAAGTGTGATTAGTTTTTCTCTCATTCCAGCAAAGGGCTCTGTGGGTATCCAGCCAGGCTTGGAGGGGTTTGCAGGGCTGGAATCACTCTCCCATGGAGAAGAGGTGATGGAGGCAAGTGCTGGGGGAACAGGGCAAAACAGAACGTGAACCAAAGAACTGGCAACGTGTCTCATTGCCCATCTCTCAGGCAGGAGCCTCCCATGTCCCCACATTGGTCCCCAGCGTCCACCACATCCTCCTGTCATCCTCTGTCCCTGGCCAGCAGCCCAAGGTCTTTGGTTTGGATCCAAAGCAACCTGCTTTATCCCAGTTTTCCAACAGAGGCCTGAAACACCCCCAAGATCAGCATTATCCCTGTGACCTTTTCCTTGGTGTGGCCAAAAAGAGCAGTTTCCCCCTCAAAATGCAGCTTGATGGGAAGTTCCTGCTCAGCATTTGTGCTGCTTAATTACACACAGACCTCATGGAGCTGCCTCCCTAATTACTGCTGCTCC